ATAGAATGAACAGTATATATTTATCTAATATTTTATTTACTTCTCATTTGTAATACAGTTCAGTTTGAGGTTCTTTATTCCTTTCTCTTATATGCAGATTGTGATAAATGGATAGGTATTATAAAAAATTTTCAGATCAGACTGCAAGAATATTTTTTGTGTAAATTAACTATTTGGGAATAAAGAGCGTTAGCATAATTTTATTTAAAGTTTTTATAAAGAAGGCATACTTACTACGCATGATATTTTAAAGTAAATATTTTTTCTAATATCATACTGCATATTTCAGATGATTAGTTTACATGACTAGATCATATTTGTATTATTACATAGCAAAAAGGACTTAGAGATGAATATTTTATTTATTATATATTAGTATTTAATCAATTTTTGATATTTATTATAAAATAAAAAATTATATAGTTAAATTAGTACATATATATCTAATGTTAATAATTAAGACATTTTTATTTATACTTTTTAATTTTTGTTATTTGTATTTTTTTTGGCAAATTTAAAATATACAAATTATATAATGCTAACTAACTTTAACATAATTTTAACTAAAATAATAGTTGCAATGTTTTTAATATTGATATTGTTAACATTTTTAATAATTATATTGTTAGCAATTATACTATTATTAATAATAAATTTGTTATAAATTCTATTTGAATATTTTTGTCAGATTTTGTTTGAATATTTTGTTTTCTAAAAGTTCAATTTATCTAATTCATTTTAATTATAATGATAATAATTAATAATTTTAATAATAATCACGAAAATACTAATGAATATAAAGATATAAAATAAAATAATAATATAATATTACATCTTCTTTTGCAGAATTTGAAATAGAAGAATATGATGAAACAAATGATATTATTCGACAAAATGTTTAAGAATTATGAGAGTTTTGACAAAAAAAAGAATGTTCATGTAGAAAAAGTAAAAATAAAAATGAGATTTGCTTTGAAAAAATAGATTTCTATAAGTTTTTTAAAAGATAAGAGGAATGTCATAATATATCACATAATAGTTTAGATACCTGAATCAAAAAATAACTTGCATCATTTACATAATAAACTATAAAATCAAAAAAAAAATCTTAATAAGAATTAAATAATTCTATAATATCCAATTATATTAAATATCAATATTATTATAATATTAAACATATTGTATATTTACCTACTTATCTAAAATTAATTGGAATTTTCTCATCTTAACTAGATCAAATTAAATCACATATTAAAAATCATGAAATGACTAAAATAATTTATAATAATATAGAATATAGTTCAATTTGACTTAATCATACTATTATTAATAATCAAGTAAAACAAAAACTTAATAATTTCCTTCATAACTATACTCATCTTTATGAATTTCCATCACCAGATCGATCTATATAAAATAATGTTATACTAGTTATTTCACTTCTGATAGATAAAACATATACTAGTATTTATAAAGAATATATTATTATTATTAAATTTAATAAAGATAAAGATTATAAAACAATAGCTTTCTTCAAATTTGAAAAGAAGTTATATCAGATATTCAGTTATGACTAAAGCATCAGATCTATATGATAATTGTAAACAACTTTATGTTAAAATTTGAGTTGCTAGTAATATTGAAAGTAAATAAAAACTTCAAGCTAAATATGATCTTTATAGAGCAGCTGTAACAATTAAACGTTAATATTATAATAAAAATATTAATATTAGTAAAAAATTAAAATCTAAAATTTCACATATTTATTATGACTGAATACAAAATATATCAATTTATTACTCATTACGATAACCTGAAGGTTTATTTTTTAAATCTTCATTTAATGTTCATATTTTTGGAATTACTAATACCAATTTAGAATCTATAATACAAAGAAATTATTTAATTGATGAATATCAATTATCAATAAAAACATCTAAAGGAGTTAATACTACTATTAAAATTTATATATAGGTTAGTTAAGTTAGTCTTAAGTTGATCCTAGTCCTAAAACTTATAAGTTCTATTAAATAGACTTACAAATTAGGTTTAATTAAATCTTTATATATAAGTCTCAAGACTAAGTCCAAATAGATTTCAGAATTAAGTCTGAATAGGTCTATAATATATTCATATAATATAGTTGTATAATTAACTAATAAAATATTAGAAATATGATTAATATAAAAGTTTTTGCATTTTTTAATGATTCAAATAATATATAAATTTTAACAAAAAATGTAAAAAAAATTTATTATTATAATTATAATAATAAAAAAAATATAATTTTTGTTTTCTATTACTTTTAATAAAAGCTAAAAAAAAATATTATACTAATTTTTTGTTTGTTTGCTAATATTATTATTAATCCAACTTTTTGCATATAATGATGTTCTTATAGTTTCAGAATTTAATCAATTTTGAGTCTTAGTAATTATGTTACCTATTATAGAAAAAGCCTATTCATATGCGATACTTATTACTTGTATCACTAAGTAATTCCTAGCTATTGATGAAAGTATTGAAAATTCATTAGAATAAGCTCATTACTAAAGAAGAAAATCTATATTTTCATTATGAGGTAAAGCTACGTATTGTTCTATTTTTATAAAATTAGAATTTATAGTAGTTAGGATTTGTATTGTTTTAGTTTCTAATTAGTGCTTTTTTAATTGATAAAAAAAGTCTTGTGGTAATGTGAAATTTTCTTGAATGATTTGAAATTGTGATTTTTGAGTGAAATATAAAGAAAAATCTTTTTATAAAGTATTAATTGCTTTTATTGTTGGTTTACCTAATTCAAAAAAAATACTTTATTTCAAAGATTAATGCAATAGTAGTTATATTATCGAGAATTTTTTAATAGTTTTTGAGTTTTTAAATAATCAAATCAGCTAATATATATTGATCAAAATCATCTTTTTCTATATAATAAATTAAATGATCTCAAATCCTATTAAAATAAAATTATATATCAGCTATTATTAGGTATATTGATTCTAAGAAAATTTTAGTTGCTCTTTCAATAAGTTCTTAAATAATAAATATTTTTCTTTTAATATAATTAAAAAAAATTTAAATTTAGTTTATAATCAAAAAAAGTAAAATACTAATATATTTTATTTATCTTTATTTAATCTATATTATAGTATTCAGTATTAAATTTAATATTTTTACATGTTTCATTGAAAGTATTTTTAATGCTATTTTTATTCTTTAGAATTTGTGAAGCATATAATAGGTAGAATTTCACCTTATTTCAATATCTATTTCAGGTCATAAATAGTCAAATTTTTCTAAAACACATAACTCACATAAGTCATCACATAATAAAATGGAATTTTTTAACCTTTTTCATTAATGTCCGTATAATTTAAATATTTTTATTAATTATCTCTATTTTTTGTTTAACTGCAAGATTAAGTATATGAGCTGAATAGCGATAGTGCTTAAAAGATGAATTATTTAAATCATGTTCAAATTTTTTCACTAATTTTTGTCTACACATTATCATTGTAGATTCATTATCTGTAGTAAATGCTAAAGCTTTATTTGTTAAGTTAAATTTATTAAGAATATCACTAATTCCATGTGCTATATTAACTCTTGTATAGTGAATTTTAAAGAAATGATATCAAGTAAAAACTGTTAAAGCACTTAATTTTGATCAATATAATAGATCATTAAGCTCAGGTATACTTTATTGCTTATTGTCAATGTTCACATATCTGTTGTGAAAGATACCTTTCCTAGTATCTTATGTAAATTGTATCTAATATTTGAAAGTCAGTTATCAAATTTCATAATAATAAATTCTTTTATTTGATGCCTATTAGGAATTTTATAACAGATATCAAAAGTATTTATCATTTTGATGAATTTTTTATTTTTAACAACATAAAATGATAGCAGATCAGAAATAATTTAATCAATAACTACATTATTTTTTTTAGATTTTTCTCTTATAGGCCAAAGAGTTGTACATTAGAAATTTAAAACTGATTGTTTATTTTTATTTTTTAGTATTATTATACTATGTTGGCTTAAAAGGTAACGTTTAATACTAGAGTTACCAGATTTTTTAGAAAATACAAATTTACACTTTATACAGATAGATATTCTTGGATTATTTTTAGTTTTATAATCAATATAATTTCACAAAAGAGAAGTTTTATGTGAGTTTGTTTAGTTATAGTTTCATTAGAATTTTGTAAATTTCTTGAAGTTTGAGTGGGTATTACTTTAACTTCTGATATACTATCCATACTATTCACATAATTATTGATATTCATAGTTAAATTGTATAAGTAAATAATAGCGCAAATAAAACATATATAAGGTTAAATAAAAATTTTTATGCTGATCGATCTATATATACGTTAAACTATTTTGTAAAAAAAATAGACAATCTATATAGCATTAACAAAATTTTTTTAGAACAAAATTTTAATTTTAAATTAGAACAAAATTAATTTTTAATAAAATTGGCTTTAAAAATTAGAACAAATTATAAATCAGCTTAAAAATCAAAACAAAATTGCATTTATATATATAATTAAATAACATGTATAGGTAATTTATTTAATAAGATAATTTTAAATTTTAATATATATAATTTTGGCCAAAATTACCATAAATGCTAGTACAGTCAAATTCACAAATATGATTGGTTAGGACTTTTTAGGATCAGGTCTAGAAAACCAAACCTAAATACTTAAAGACCTGATCCAAAGACTAAGTCTTTAAGTTCAGGACCTAAGACTTTACCAACCCTACTTGTATATGATAGTTTACTTCATTGGAATCCATCGCAAAAAAGTCACATGTGATAATTGTAGTGGTCAGAACAAAAATAATCTTACTCTTTGGTTTTATTCATGGCTTATTATAATTAGAAAGTTTGATACAATTAAACTTAATTTCATGATTCCCGTCATACTAAATTCATTTGTGATTCAGGTTTTGGAACATTTAAATCTTTATATCGCAAGTCTAATGTTATGAGTATGGATCATATTGAAGCCATTATTAATCAGTCAAAGAAAGATGGAAGCAATATAGCAGTTAGATATGATGGAAAAGATCAAGTAGGATGGAATTATTATGATTTTGAAAATCTTCTCAAACCTTATTTTGTTAAATGCGATGGTATACGATCATTCCGGCATTTTTATTTTTATTATGATCAGCCTGGAAAAGTTTTTGTCTTTAGAATCTAATGGTTTAAAACAGAAGCCACAATTCGCAAAAATGTTCAATTTGATCCATACCAGTCTTTAGACATAATTCCTTTAAAACCTTTATCTTCAAAACGTCAAGCACAGCTATTTAAAGATATCCGTCCATATGTACATGATCCTTATAAAGATGAGTTATGTTTTGCTCCAAATGAGCATGATATAAGTTTATCTAATACAGAACATTAAAACTTATTAGTTTTATCGGATTTATTCACCATAGCAAAAAAATTTTAAATAAACTTTTCCGTTGAAAGTTTTGCGAAACAATAAACCCCTTTTTACCGTTAAATAATTTAAAACAATTATTGTTATATATTAAACGTTAATCTAAATTTAGGATGAAAGTTTGGCGTAGAAAAAACACTGCGTGCGAAACTGTATCAAATTATAATATGCTAATATATACCAAATTTTTTTATTTTGAATAAAGCACCGGAAAAAACATCTCAAAACCCCTTTTTGCTGTGTAACAACCCATTTCTGATATTTCTGAATTATTAAGCATATACCGGAGAGATATATGACTCTTCGCCTGAAGAATTAGAGACTCAGCAAAAAATATTCCAAAGAACGGTCATTATATTTAAAATATTTTTTCAATACAAAATAAGAAGGGAAAATTTATTTGAAAAAAATAAATTTCGAGATTAACAAGACAAATGAGTCTTAATTTTATATAATAAAAATTGCTATTTTCTGAAGAAATATAAAGAATGAAAATTAACGAATCTTTAATATTATTTATTTTAAAACGTGATCTTTTCCAATTCTCCTATGATTGTTCTCGCCTTTTCTCTAACTTTTTCGAAATCGAGTTCGTAATCGTCTTCAGGAGTAATTTCATCCCTTCCTTCGAAGGAGAATGGAATATAACTTTCGGCAAGACCGAAAAATTCTGCAATTTTAAAATATATTTTTTCGCCATAGGTATTTCTATCCTTACGATGGATTTTAAAGTATTCTTGAAGTAAATCTTCACGTACACCTTCAGAATTGGCAATTTGTTCGAGTATGTCTTCGTACATTAAAAGTATAGTCGCCTTTAATCTGTATGGTGGGGTGGTAACATATTTGTATTGATCATCGTCGAGTACCCATCCGGACCATAAAAAATAATCTTTCTCCCCTCCACGATAAATTATAAGACATTGGTGCGTTGTGTGATCAACTACAAGGTACGCACCTTGATTTTTGTATGTGCCAAGGTAACCATTAACATCATTTGCAGTAAATTCTTGAAGGGTTTCTAGAAGTTTTTACGATTTTGATTATTCCAGTTGTCATCTTGATCGAATCCCCAGTCGGTTTTGTGACGATTAAATAAGAGTTGCAACCCTTTTTCGACATAATGTATACGAGACTTGTCAAAATGTGCAAAATCTGGGTTGAGTACATTCGCGTGTGCATAAGTTCTATACACGTTACGAGATTCGTATGTGTTTAACTTGATTTGATTTTGACCAGATACGGTTCCAATCCAATGAGAACCAGTAAAAGAATATCGACCATCGGTTAAAGTTTCACGACGGCTATGGTTGGCAATATAAAACCAATGTCCATTGAGCCAATTCGTATTTTCTTTACTATTATTCTCATACAGTCCGATCCAGTCCCATGTTGATGGCGTAATAATGGACCATTCAAATTCGAGACGTCCTGACTTTATAACGCATTTTAAGTAACAAATTTCTCTTTCTTCTGATTCATTCATAATTCTTTGGACATGAATGTTTTGATTGTTTTGTTGATCTTCACCCATGAACGTAATCCTTTGAAATAAAAGAAAATTTGTCGAGTAGAAGAAAGAAAATTTCTGAGAAAAATTTTCATTCATATATATATATATATATATATATTGTGTCATTGGATGAGTAGTTTATTGAAACAATTAGATTGACATTATTGAAAAATGCAGGAGCTAGTGGCTTAGAAAACATCTAAAAATAGATTTTTATTATAAAAATTAAAAACTTAAAAGATAATATTTTTATAATATTTTTTAAATTAAAATAAAAATAATTAATAAATTTTACAATTTAATAAAAATAAAGTTAGTAAACTTATTAATAATATAATAAAATTAAAAATTAATAAATTTTTTTAGTAATTAATTAATAAATTTTATTAAATTAATAGTTAAAATTAAAATTAATATTTGTTGGAAATTTTAAAATATTAATAATAAATATTAAAATTAAAAATAATTAATTTTATAAAATAATTAAGATATTTTATATTATTAAATTTATATATAGTATATACTACATTTAAAAAGTATTTAAATAAATTATTTTCAATTTTTTAATTTGAAATTAACTGAGTATTTTTAGCAAAAATTTAAAGAAAATTGTTATTTTTTAACTTTTCTTTATTTTAGAAATTAATCTTAATTAGTTTAATATTAGTAGTTTTTATTTAACTTAGAAAAAACAAATAAAATTTTAGCAATAATTATTTTTATTTTATTTTAGTTCAAAAAAATTACTAAAATATTAAAGAAAGATAATAAAGTATTAATATTTCTACTTATATTTGCTATTAAAGAAATGGTTATTAGAAGTAATTTTTTTTTGATAATTTGAAAAAAAAATACTAGTGATTAATTAACTCAAATAAGCTTTAAATAGAATTACAAAAGAAAATTATAATTTTCATTTATATTTTTTTAAAATTTTAAAACTATTTTAATAAAATTATAATAGTATTATATCATTAAATATAAAAAAAAATTAAGAATTATAAGGTTACATTACAATCAGTATTAGTCATTAAATTGAACTGGTCTAATGAAATAATATTAAAATAGATGATCTATTTCAATAGACAGAATCACTAATTATAATATATAATTATATATATTAAAATAAATTTTGTGATTAAAAATATAAAAAAATAATAAAAATTAAATAAAAATAAAAATAATAATAAAAATAATAATAAAAAGTCCAAAAATAAGAATTTAAGAAAGTTTTAAACCCTTTTAGAAAAATTTATATATATATATAGTTATCATAAAATTTTTATAAATATCCAAATTAATTATCAACAATCTAACTATTTAAAAATTTATTTATTTATAAATGAAAAAAACATAAGTTAAAAGTTTCATAGAAATTTTAAATAAAATGATAAATATATAATTAAATATATTATATGTAAAGTATGTAAAATAAAATATCTTATAAATTTATTTATATAAATAAATATTAGAACCTTCTAATTATGTTAGATAACTTTAAATATATTTCATTTAAAATAAATTTATTTAACTTTATATAAATTAATTTTTTATTAATTATAATAATATAAAATAATATAATAAAATTCATTATAATAGGATATTATATATTATAAAATTAATCTATAATTAATCAAATTTATAATATGATATAATAAAAATTTTTTTAACTAATAAGACTAAATCCATTTAAAACTTTAAATATGAAAATCATGATTAATACCAATAAGGTAACGCATTGTGAATTTATTTCAGTAATATTATACTTATTAATTACTATTACTAAAAATTAACTACTCAAAATATATTTATAGTTTTACAAAAAGACATTTTTATAAAGATACAATTGGTTGAGTAAACTATATAATTAAAATCTGAAAAACTTACTTTATATCACTAAGAAAAAATCATATAATATTAAGAATAAACATATATAGGTAAGATTACTACTTAAATTTGTATTTTTAGAATATTAAGCAAAAAAAGATTTAATAATATTAACTAAAGATAGCATCTTAATTAGTTACAACAGGTAACAAATAAGTATATAATATTGCAATGAATTGCAACATTATTAAAATTTAAGCTACAATAGATGACAACAATATTGTAACGCTATCTTTAATATTAATATATTTTATTTTTTAGAATCTAATATTATTTGAAAATACATTTCAGATAAATAAAAAAACAGTTTATAGGTCAGGTGTTTGAAAATGATTATTTCAATTATATCTATGATTATAAAAATTGAGTGACATTTTATTATATATATTTTAGATGATATTTTCTTCACAAGCAGTAGTAAATATCAAATTAATCTTATAAAGTTTACTAAAAAATTTTAAATTATTTTAAAGCAATATAAAAAGGATAATAAGTATTATTATTAGATTATTGAAGGATCAGATTAGTATAAACAGATTTCTAACTAGTAAAAAATTTAAGATCAAAAAATTTATTAAAAATAATATGTATTATAAGCATAATCCTAAATTATGTATTATTTTTCACATATATTAATAAAATTTTTTTTAGTATTTTTATAATTTTATTAATTTATTATATTCTAATTTTTAAATTTTTTTATTAAAAAATATTTAAAATTAACAAATTAAATTCTAAAAAGTATTATAATTAGATATTTTTACTTTTTATATAATCTTTTTATAAATATAATATTTAAACTTTAATTATTAATAAAAAAAAAATATCTAAAATAAAAATTACATTTATTATTAAAGTTATAAAATTATTAAAATAAATATATAGCTTATATTATATAGTATAATTAATATTACTTGTCTAAACTCATTTTGGATTTGGCAAAATGTCTAAACTATAGTTTTACTAATTTTTTACTAAAGTTTTGATATAGTTTTGCATTTTTATATAGTTTTACCTTTTCAGAATTTCACAGATTTTTTAATAAAATTTTAATATAATTTCGCTAAATTTTATCTTTTTCTATTTAGATGACTTGTAAAACCTTTAAGATTTATTTAGCAATCTTAATGATAATCTAAAGTAATATATTATTTCATATTATATTTAAAATATAATTATAATAGCTAATATAATAAATTTATATTTATTTTAAAGTTTAAATTTTTAAGAATATTTAAAAAAATCTTTTTGTTTAATTCTTTGTATAATATTATATAAATTATATGATTTATAAAATTGTGAAATTTTAACTTTTTAATTAGAATAATATAATAAAATAAATATTATTATTCAATTCTTTGATTAGAAATTAGCTTAATTTTCAAAAATTTTAATATTGAACTGGTAATTATAAAGAAATCAGCTTTTAACAATCATAAAAATCATTAAAGATTGTCATTTTACATATGTTTAATATTGAAATTTATTTTATTGTAATTATTTTAAAAAAAAGTTAAAAATTCATTATTTATAAATTAAATAATTTATACAAATTACACTATGAAATAAGCAAAAAATTATTTTAAAATATTATTAGAGAGTTTAAGGTTTAAAATAAATATAATTTTATTATAATAGTTTTTATAATTTATATTTTAAATTTAATGTGAAAGTGATATATTACTTTTGATTACCATTAAGGTTTTATTTAAACTTATTTTAGATTTAGAAAAATGTCTAAACTTTAATTTTACTAATTTTTTATTAAGGATTTAATATAATTTTACATTTTTATAAGCTTTGATATAGTTTTACCTTTTTTAGAGCTTTACCTTAAAAAATATTAAAAGAATTTATATTATAAAATTATTTTAAAACTAATTCTAATTACAAATATTTAATAAATGAAATTTTATCTCTTATATTTAAAATTAATTTTTAGAACTTAAAATGCTAAGGTTTATTTAGTATTAAAATTATTAGTAAATAAAAACACTGAAATAATTAATTATTTTAATAAATGAATGGAAATTCTTTTAAAAATTATTAATATTTTTAATGGAAAAAATTATGTAATCTTATTATTTTTATAATTTTTATATCTATTAAATTCTTATTAATTATTTAAAAAAGAAATATCAATTAATAAATGATAATAATAATTGAAAAATAGAAATTGAAAAAAAAACAATTTATCAATTTAATCAAAATAAAGAACAAAAAGTTAAAATAAAATTAAAATCCTTCTTAAATTAATCTTAAAAAAAAAATCTTGTAAAATTGAAGATTTTTATTTGGTTAATTACAAGTAATAATGAATTATTTTTAAGGATTTATCTTTTATTTCAATATATAAATAGTTTTTAAAGATATTAACCATGATGAAAAAAATAGCTGAAGAATATCCAAATTTTTTATCAAATTACAACCAAAAGGTTATTGTTAGATATTCAAATGTTTATTCTAGCTTTTTTGGTTCATGGCAATACTTATTCAGACACAATACCATATATATACAGCACACTTCATGTGATACATAATAAAAAGAATCCTTAACTTTCGACACGTGCAAATCTCAATAAAATAAAATTTATAAAATTTCATTCTATAAATGGTATTATAAGATATGATAGATAAGCGGGTATGATATATTTTTAATATCACCGTGATAATTCATAGTGATAAATGTATGCGATAAATCTTTTGAAAATAAAAAAAAAAGTTCGGTAAAATTAGGAACATTATTTTTGAATCCAGAGATCATTAATTATTTATAATAATATTGAATCTTGAAAAAAAATCGTCTTTCGTTTTTTGGATTTGAAAGATTAATTTATTATTTAAACTATTATATACCCAAAAACAATCGACGTATAAACACAAACGGTATCGTTATTACCATAAAAAAAATATGTTACGAATCATATGATTAACATGATCTATAGATATTTCTTTTTGTATCTCATATATTTTTATACCAATTCAAGAAATAAAAGCGAAATGTAATTACACTTTGTACAAGTCTAGATTAAAGTTCAAACAGTGTGAGGTGTTTTAGCACGTATTTGTGCTCATAAGAAAGGGGGTTAAAAAAAGTTAACGTTAAAATAACGAAAATATTCTCCGAGATTTACATCAAAGATGATACCTTATATTATAACTAAACGGAAAGATAAATATCGATTTGGTGAATTATCGTTTAGTATTTAACTAAAATAGTAATGTATCTCACGCTAACGTTTAGAATGTTCCGCATGGCTCTCACATCTTGCAGTGTATAAATAAAGAAATAATTAATTAACAACCAAAAAAACTTTATTGATCAAGTGGTTTTTATTGAATTTTTTTTTTTTTAACAATTTTTTTTTTTTTTTTTTTGGTATATAATATATATAAGAAAAAAAGGAAAGTAAAAATAACTTTTTATAGTTAGTTGAAATATACAGTTTCGGTTTTTTAATAAAAGGAATAAAGAATGAAGTGAGGTCAATTTTGTGCGTGCATATAAGTGCCACGAAGAAAAAAAAAAATAAAAGTAGGCAAATTTTCTTTCATCTCAAATGAAAGTTTAAGAGAAGTAGAGAAGTTCATGAAATAATGAAATATAAAGAAAGTTTAAAATTACAAGGAGGAGTTTATTAAAATAGGAGGCAATTTTTAAGATAAGGAAAAAAACCAAATCAAAATAAAGGGAAAAAAATATGTACAAAAAAAAGGTGTATATATTTTGGAAAGGAAAAAAAAAAAATATATTTAACAAAAGAAAAAGTGACGGGAATAGCAAAAGATTCCCAAAGGTAATATTTCGGGGAAAAAAAAAGACCCATTGTCCATACAAATCAACCTTGTCAAGAACAATAGTGTATATATAATAAAAGAGAGATAGATAATAATAATTTATAAATATGGTTATATAAAAAAAAAAATAAAGGAAAAATATATTCTAAAATGAATTCGGAAACTATAAAATAAACCCTGGTCACTCTACTTTTGTATCGTCAAGTTCGTCGTGTGAATAAAAAATTTTAATACGTATTTTTAAATATCTCGATACTCCCGAGAACCAGTCAAACTCTGCTCAAAAACGTCTATTCCCCTCTATTCCGATCCCCCAAATTAAACCCCTCCGTCAAAGCGATAAAAGTATATAATATATAAAACATCTTAATTCGTTATAAATTCGATTCTTTGATGAATTCAATAATATCCTCGACTGTGATACATCCCTTTCGAACCAAATCCTGAATTTGACCCATATCCCGAAGGGTTCTGTCCAAAATTATGTAAAGATGGTCCAAAACCACCGCTAGGCCCTCCTCCGTATACACTAGATGTCGAATTATTAAATCTATTCTGAGTTGAAGGACCTCCAAATCCTCCTCCTGTTGAAGATGATCCACCTATGTATCCGTATTCATTAGTAAATCCACTGGAAGGATGAAATCCATCAGATGACCCGAATTGAGAATGTCCAATAACAGGCTTATTTGTCGAAAACCCGTTATCGGCATAAGTTCCTGTTGACGATAAATAACTATTTTTTCCATTACCATTATCACATAATGAGATGCTTGATTGATTTGAATGACCGCCTGAACCTAATATTGAACTATAATAATCAAAATCAGATGATTTTGACGAAGAACCCGTCAGTCTTCGCGCCCGTCTGGTTTGAATTCCAAATTCTTTCAAAATTCGTTCTTCTCGTTCTCGTTCTTCAGCAAGCATCATTTCAACTTCTGTAACGTCAACCTTGCTCGTTAGCGCGGCTTGACCTTCAGCGATCAAATCTGTTAGCTTACAATTAAACTTGAGAAAAATATCATCTTCGTCTTCAGGTTGAGTGAAAGAGGGAGACGCATTGATGCTTTTAGTCAAGTCGACCGATGATGATTTACGACGTATTAATCGGCGTCCGCGGCGAACACGAAATTGTCGTCGTCGTGGAGGTGAAGTGGCGGTTGATTTTGTGAAAAGTTCTTGTGGATTCGAAGGTTGTTCCGGTGTTGCAATTTCTTGTGATTCCGCCAATGATTGTGGAGTTGTTGGTGGTTTCACTTCGGTTGATGGTGATGGCTAAAAATTAAATGAGGAAATGAAAATTACTATTATGAATCAAAATTATAATATTTTCACATTTTTATTCTCCTTTCGTTTTTAACAACTTACCATGTACCAAGAACTCTCATAAGGTGGGGGAGGTTCTTCTACATCATCTTCATTTTCTGCCCAAACATGGTTTTTTTTGTCAAATTCATGATCGTTCAATTCATTTTCTTCATCTTCGTCGGTTTTAATTTGCAAAACGTCATCGTAATATTGATCATAATCGTAACTTTTTCTCGTTGGTTGTTGACGACGTTCTTTTTTGCCTCCTTGACTTCCCGTTATAGTGTTATAAACTTCAGAAGAAACGCCAAAAGTGTAAGCTGCAATCTCCGTTAACTTGTATATGACGTTAGTTGCAACGGCAGCTACTCCGGGACGTTGTTTTTTAAATGGAGGCTCATCATTATCGCATATCATATCATCATCATTAGGTTGCTGTTGCTGTTGTTGCTGCTGTTGGAGTTGTGCGTTATACTGGTTTTGTAATTCAAGCCGTCGTTTGGAATTTAGGGGCAAGTGCGTGAAATCATGTAATGAAGAAGGTGGTTCCATGTCCTTTTCGGTAAAATTGTCTACGGTTTCTTTTCTGTGTCGTATTGTAAGGTAATAATAGTTGAATGTAACTTTGAATCTTGCGAGGTATAAGATTTGGTTTTAGAGTTTGAAATACCACGTTCGAAGGTTGTGATTTTTCAGTGAAGAAAAGTTCCAAAAAAATTAAATTTTTTTTTTTTTTAAAATAAATATAAGCCAAGTATTAACTTTTCTTGTTTTTCTTGTTTTTCTTTATAAAATGTTGTGTTCCTGTAAAGTCAAAGAAAGTATTGGCGTATGATATGTGCAGTTTGCAGTACAATATCTTTGTTCGTTTCTTTCGTGTTAATATATCTCCAAAATTTAAGTGGTTTAATTATGTTATCGTGCAGTATAAGTCGTTGGAATGTGGAGTGAATAAGTATATGAGAGATTAAACATTTATTTGGTTGGGCAGGGCAACAAAAAAAGTGATCTCGGTAAAAGTTGTTGATTTTTTCAGTTCATTAAAAATGATTCTGATGCGCTACTATTGTTAAATTTTTGTTGCTCCGTGCGAGGGTAATATTTTTTTTTTTACTTAGACTTTACTAGTATGCGAGAGTAACACTTTATCGGTAAGAAAAAAATAGGGGAAAAAAAAAAAGTTTGATACAGCTTTTTTTGTAATCTTTTATACTTTATTGATCTAAATAAAAATGTTCAGGGTTTAACTGCCTTTTTTTTTTTTTTTTTTATATACTTGAGGCGGAGAAATAAATGTAACAATACAATTTATAATAGACAGATCTTAATTGAACTTACTATAAAAATAAAATATACTAAAATTTTGTAATCATCACATACAGGGGTTCCTGAAGCCACACAATTCTGTCCTGTGATCTGCCAGTAGTGATAAATGCGAAATATGAATCTTTTTTAATTTCCCAACGATAATTTATTAAATTATCAAATTTTATTATAATTAAATATAAAAATAATGTTATATTTTTTTAATAAATTAATATATATTTAAAAATATCATATAAATTTAATGTTAGACTATTTATATTTAATGATTTAAAGTACCTGTAAAATTTAACTATTATATAGAATGTATAAAAAAAAAAAAAAAAAAAATTGATATGTAACTAAATATAATTCAACCTAAAATTATAAAAAATTATTGTTATACTAAATATACTTCTTAAATTTTTTGCTATAAAATTATAATAAATTTGAAATACTTCATTATATTACTATTTTAATTTTATATATATTATAAATAATTACAAAATAATTATAATTAATACTTAAATAAATTTTTATTTAATAAAATAATAAATAAAATTATTAAAAATATTAAAAATATTATAAAAAATGATTTTATTATTTTTTTTTAATATTAAGTAAAGCAAAATTTTTTATAAAAGATAAATTATTTTAATATAAATTAAATTTATTAAATATTAAAATTTTATTAATATTAACAATATCTATAAATAATTTTTAAATTATTAAAGAAAAACTTTAAATTATATAATAAATATTTTATTTTTAAATTTTTAATATAAATAATATAACTTATTTAAATTTTTATTATATAAATTGAAATTATTAATTTTAAATAATTTATATAATATAATAAAATTTATTTATATATATAATATAATTAAGTGATCACTTAAAATAAAAAATAGTATTATTAAAAATTATTAGAAAGTAAAAAATAATAGTGATTTTTATAAAAAAAAATGCTTTGCAAAAAATATAAAAAAATTTTAATGACATAATATAATTAAATATTTTTTAATTTTCTTTAATAATAAATTATATTTTTTGTATTTTTATAATTAATTATTAATTATTAATATTTATTATAAAATAATTTTAAGTATTATAATAAAAAAATATTTTAATTATTTATTTAATTATTAAATAGTTAAATAATTTAAAATAATTTTAAAATATATTTATATAAATTTTTATTAAATTTTAGATAATTAAAATTTTTATATAAAATTTTAAAAATAAACTTATTATTAATTTATTTCTTAATTTAAAATAAAAATAATTTATTTATTATACTATATGATATCATCATCTTTCTTTTATTACCTTTATCATACTTATATTTCAGTATAAATTAACAAATTTATTAATTAAATTATAATTTTAATAAATAAATTGTATTTTAATAAATATAATTAAATGTTAAATTAATTAGTGTCAAAGTATAATTATATTCTTTCATGTTTTCATTTTTTATATATATTCTGAGAACTTAATTGTAAAAAATCTATTTTTCACACCTTGTGTTAAATATTACATATTTTAATTTTAGTTAGTATTATATAATTTTGCTTAAAGATGATGCATTATATAATGAAATAAATAAATTTACTTTTTAAAATAATTTTTAAAATTAAAAAATTTTTATTATTATAAATAATAATACAATTTTTTATTATAATAAAATAGTCTTAGTACTTATTTAATTAATTACTTCTTTTTATACTCTAAGCTGTTTTAAATTCTTTAAGTTTTTAAAGATTATTATATATTATAAAAAAGGTAATTTTTAATTTTTTAGTATTCTAAATACCTTGATTCTATAATTGTTAAATAGCCTAATAGTTGATTTTTTATTTAGAGATTATATCTTTTAATTGAATTTTTTAGTAAAAAAATAAGATTAATTTATTGTAAATAAGTACATATTATTAGTTATGATTAAATTTTAATAAATGTAATATTATAAAATATATAATATAATTATTCTATTGAGTAATAATTGTAATTATTAAAAAAAAAAAGAAATATAAATATAAAAATAATGTAGAATAAATAATATATATTAAAATATCATATATAAATAAAAAAATAAAATATAAAAAAAAATAAAGAAAATATATAAAAATAAAATAATAATATAGTACTAGTTTTAAAAAAAGTTTATTTACTAATTTATTTATAATTTTTTTTAATTTTATTAAATATTAAAACTTTATTTATAAAATTTATTTTAAAAGCTAATTTATTTAAAATTAGCAGAAAATTACTATATAAATTCAAGAAAGAATTATTATAAAATTGCTAAAATTGGCTAAATTTTTGAGCTATAAAAATTGCAGATGATTATGCTGTAACACTAAAATTCATATAATATAATTTTAAATGTTAAAGATAAAAAAAATAAAAAAAATTATAAAAATTATTTATTTATTCAAAACTTTACTTTAAAGTAATATTATATTTGATAGAAGTTTATATATGTATATAAGAATTTCAAGTTATATATTACATTTTTTAATAAATAAAACATTTAAAATTATGATTTAATATATTTTATATCTAAAATTATTTGTTTATATAATTTTATTATTTCTTTACTTTTTAATTTATGTATTTTTATAATTTCTTTCTATTTTTATAAGAACTAATCAGTAAACTAATTTATTTTAATTTGAGTATATTACACAAATTTTTAGCATTAATTTACAAATTATTATTACTTTTTAAAAGTATTGCAACAAAAATATAAGAAGAAAAATAATATATTTACCAGAATAATAAATAATAATAGCTTTTAGAAGATCTTATATAGATAATCGATTTTAAGTTGTATTTCTTATTTTTAAATCATTTATTTGTACTTTAATTATGCTTATTTTTGGTTAAAAAACTATTACTTTAACAATAATATTTGTGTAATTTTCATGAATAAACCAGTTTCTACTGAATAATAAATATTAAATCACAGTAAGTATTAAATTTTAGCATTTTATTATAAGTTATTATATGAAATTTTTTTTTGATATTTTTCTTAGTATTTTTAAGTTTTATCACATAACTTAGTATTATAAAATAATTTTAATATTTTTGATTAGCTTATTTAATATAAAATTTTTATCTGAATTTATATAATAATTTCTACTGATCTTAAACAAATTAAATCTTAAATTTAATAATTCTATAAAAGTAATAATTTTAAAATAATTATTCTTTTATAAAATTTATTATTTAATTTTTTTAATAATTTTACTTATTCTTATTATATATAAGTAATTAATTAAATATTTATTTATTTATTATAAATATATATTTATTTTTAAGAATAATATTTTATTTATTTATTTAATTAATTAATAATATTAATAAATTTATTTTATAAATAATTAAAAAAAAATATACTTTAAATTAATATTAAATCCAAATAAATTTTACTTTAAAATTATAAATATTGTTTAATAATTAATACTATTAATTATTAACTGATTAATTACTAATTAATAAATATTATTTAATAATTAATTGACTTAATATTTTTAAAAATTAATTACAAATTAATTTTAACAGTTTAATTTTAAAAAAAATGTAATAAGAAAAAACTTTTTTAATTATTAATTTAATATAAAAATTATCAATATTATTATATATTGCAAAATTATTTAATAATACAAGTAATCATATTTTATTAAATACATTTAAATAATTAATTAATTTTAAATAAATTATTTTTTGATTTATAAGTTAATAATTATTAAAAAATTATTTAATTAGCTAAACTAAATAATTAACTAATTAAAATTTTTAATTTAATTGATATATAATTTAATTAATTAGTTAAAATTTTTTATTAAATATTATTATTTTAATTTCTTATAATCATTATAATATCTATATAATTATAAGATATTTTATAATATAAAATATTAAATATAACTAATTTACACACAGATGATTATATATAAAATTTTAACTATTTATAGAATTAGGATTAGTTAAGATTAGTTTTAAAGTTAAATTTTATTTATCATAACATATTACATTCATCTGTTTCTCATTTTTAATAATTAATTAAAAACTTAGAAAATTTTTATTGTTAAAAATTCTATTTGTCACCCATTATATGTCACATAAATCATTCATCCAGAATGCAAATTAGCAAAGTTCTAAAATATTTATTTATTTAAAAAAATAATTAATATAATAACTATTTTATTTTTTAATAAAATTATAAAATATTTATATATTATAAATATAAAATTAAAAATTTTAATATTATAAAGTTTAATTAAATTTATTAAAGTAATTAAAAATAATTTAATATTTATAATAATAAATATCTAAATAACTTAAAATTATATTTAATTAATTTTTATAAGATACAGTATATTAAAAAAATATAAAAAGTAAATTAAATTATAAATATATAAAATCAAATTTTAATTAAAAATTTTATTTTAATATATTTTATTAAAATAAAAAAATTTTTAATTCTAAATTTATTTATATTTATATTAAATTATTTTTTGTTTTAAATATTTATTAAATGTATATTAAAAATTAAATTATAATATAGGTCTTAAAGTTTATGTTGATATAAAATATATTTTTTATATAAATAAGATTATAATATAAATCATATTTTTAGACATAATTATAAAATATAGATAAAAAATTCCTTATATTAATTTCGTAAAACTAAAAATTAATCAAAAAAAAAAATAATAAAAGATTCTACTTTTCAAAAATATTAAATTAATTTTATTTAAAAAAATTATTAAAAAAGATTAGTTATTTAAGTCTATAATTTAGGATTATACCTTAATAACTTTTCTAAAATAATTAATTAAATTTAAATTAACTTTTATTAAAATATAACATTCTATTTAAAGATAATAAATTAGATCAAGATCGAAATAAAATATAATCAGATCAAGATCTTTTGATACTTAAATAAAAGCAATTATAATTAGTAATGTAATTAAAGAAAACAGGTTTTATAATTGATCTGTTTATAATTATCTTAATATTTGAAATAATAACTAATTTTAATCAACAATTAGCTTATTATAAAGGAATCAGAATAAAGAAATTACAAAATGAACATATTTGAAATAAAGTTAGAAAAGGAACAAAAAAAGCAACAATAACCGACGATAAGCAACAGCATTGGCCACGATTACTTGTACTACTGTGGTATTTGAACAATTTTGACCCCCTGTCAAATATTTGATTTTGTGACTTTTGGTGAAAAGGTGGGACAATCATCAATACTTAAATTGATCCGTTTTTTTTTTATATATTTGTTACATAGTACAACGATCAAGCATTTATTATTGGAAGTTTTCTGAAATTGTTACACGTTCATGCAACAATCGTTTTGTGAAGTTAAATGCATCATACAATCCAACCCTTTTTTTTTATCTCCTTTTCAAATTAAGGAAGAAAATTCATGGTAAAAAAAATAAAATAAAAATAAAATAAGATAAAAATCTAGGAGATAATTTAATAAACAAAATCTCAATCACTTTTTTATTTTATCACTATCTTGACAATCAGTCATATCTCATATCCCATAGAACTTATGTAATTGTGCAAACAATTGACCAAAAAAAAAAAGGTTCACCTTAAAATAAACAGATTTTACGCCGTTAACGATATGCAAGTCATTGCAGACGGTAAAACAATTGAACACATTGTTTTTTTTTTTATTAAAAATGATACGTTACAGATAATCATATGACATTTTGGAAACCTTTTTTCTCGGTTTCCTTTTTCAGATCGATCTTACTTCTTTGATACCGATAAAAGATTGTGAAACGTATACGAGTGTTGGGGAGAATAGGGAAAATATTTTAAAATAGATTTTGAAACTTTTTTGTAGTTGTACAACTTCATGGTGGGATACACGAATGCGTAATACAAATGCAAGTGGTGAGGATTTACGAATCAGTGCATAATAAAATTAATTAATACATACATGGTACGGGAAATTATAACAACGTCAATATGCATGAAAAGCATGTTGACATAACTTCCGTGGTATCATGGAACCATTGAAAAGTCCGAACATCTTTGATTTACGGAACTGTGGGGAAACTTTGTGGGCCGAGAAGCAGATCAAACATTCAACTTTCTTGTGTCACGTCATACCGAAACAATTATCTGTGTCGATTTCCATGTGTATTTGAAGTCCAAAGTCTGATTTGTTACATTTTAAATTCATTGTAAAAGAAAAAAAGGCAAAACGGTTCGTTTTAATTTGCAAGAAGTTGGAGTGATGATATATGGTACCAATAAGATGTTAACAGAAACGTTTTAGAATTTATTCATCGGAAATCGATTTTCGGAATTCCCTACACTCTTTATGAAGATACATAATATTCTTCGAGCATGATAATGGTCTCTCTAGCAATTTGATTTTAAATTTGTGTAACAGGAAAAATTAAAAATCATGCATAACGTAATTATGTTATCATTCTTCGCTAAAAAAAATGTGTGGTCAAAGTATGTCATTTCAAAAAAGTTTTTTATAAGAAAAATAATAAATTTTTCTTCTAAATTAAGTATAATGAGAATGCTCGAGGATCCACGCTGTTTTTTTTTTTTGCATTAATCAAAATGAAAAGCTTCCCTTGGTTCTATTCATTCATTAAATTTCACATTTCTATAAAGGTAACATGCATCAATCGTTGAAAACAAAAATATACAATCTCCGCAATTTTCCATTATCATCTTCTCAATAGTCTTTGTTCCCATTGTAGAAAGGAAAAAAAGATTCTTACTGACATTCAGTAATTTCCGAACGAAAAATGTATGCAGATGCAAAGCGCATTACTCGCGATATACATTTGGAAATTTGCGAGTTTCAAAACAATGCTCTTTTTTTCTTCAATTATCTTACCGATTTGAATGAATTACAATGCCAATTTACAAAAATAGCCAAGAATCCAAAAAAAAAAAATTTGTGATATGATATGTTTAGATGTGATATGATTATCTTACATTCAAAATCACATTTTTTTTTTTTTTTTTCACATTTGATTAACACAAACAATTGGTTTATAAAAAGATTAACAATTATTTTAACACTTTAAAGTTTCTAAAAATAATGATAAGATTTTAACGGACATGATTTCTAACCTTTTCGGTATTTCATAAATCCAAATTATAGGATCATCATAATTTTTTTTTTTTTTTTTTGAATTTTCGAACTTTAAATTCTGTAAGGTTTCTATTTCGAATTTAAAGTAATATTAACTTTAAAGAAAATATTTTCAAAGTACTCATTCATATAAATATGTCAAAATCCTTAAACCAAGAATTTAATCAATTTTCACAACCTTTTTCTACATTTATATCACCCATACCAAATAATCCTTATTTTTTATGTAACATCCTTGCAGATAATGCGAGAGAATATATTATGTTATCAGATCAATCATTTTTCGGTTTATTTGATGTTATCTATGCATTCATTTTGGCTGTAGTATTAGGATTGATGGTGAGCTTAACCTTTTTTTTTTTTAAAAAAAAAAAAAAAAATGAAATATTTTTAAAAAAAAAATGACAACTTCGCTATTAGAATCAAACAACCATAACTTATTCAATATCCCTGGCAATGATAATTATATGGATTTGGATAAAACTTAGCATAGTAAAGGAAGAAAGTATTTTATCAATTAGAGATGTTGGTATACAAGTAAAGACTATTTATGTGAATGGTAGAAGTGTATCTAGATTTATTGATAAATCTAAAATTTCTGATGTCATAATTAATGAAGGTATAAATATGTTGCAAGTAAAATTTTATATGGCCATAATCGTTGAAGGTCAAGATAGGATGGTGGTTGTTTTTGAGGTAAAAGAATTCTTTTTTTTTTCTTGTAAAAAAAAAAAAAAAAAATTCTTTAAACTTATTTTTTTTTCTTTATTAAAAAAAAAAATTTGATTTTAGCATCTATTACCAAAGTTAAATATTTTATTAAAAGTATATAGAGGAACTAGATCCGTAATATTTAATGAAATGGAAGAAAATATTGATAACGCTGACCAACTTTCCTTCTAACCATTCTATACCATTCTATGTAACTTTCATTATTTAAAAAGATCCGAATTTAAGAGAGTTGCAACCAGTACTTGTTGAAGACAATATTTTCAAAAATATCTGGTTCCGCAAATTATATTATTAACTTAATGATTATTGTTTTTGCTTTTGCTTTGATGGTTCGTGGTAAATTTATCAAATCATGAGCACCTTTTTCCCGACAGCATTCTTTGTTGTCGAGAACTACGCACTTCGATTTTTTGTTATGACATGTATACTTCACGCGTAATCTAATAATATGTATTGGTCCATAATTAATTAATATTTTAAATTATGCATTTTTTTCACTCTTTTAAATTGCAAGTTATAATACTGGTTTAAGTGATGATAAGTCGCTGAAACAGTTGCTTAATAGAAGGAATGAGCACGAAAACAAATGATTTAACGTTAACTTACAGTATCAAATATAACATTTTCCGAGTTATCATCCGACTTTTTATTCTGCTGAAAAAAAAAATTGTAAAAGAAAAATTTATTATGTTATTAAATAGAAAGTCGCATAAAAATTCTATATTTTCGTGTGGCATCTTTTGAAAGACAGGTTTTCTATGAAGGAAAGTTTCTAATAAAAAAACAAAAAGGTTCTTATTAAGTCTTATTGATCATGGTCAGATTGCGCTGAAAAAATTCGTTATAAGGAAGATTTCATTGAATTATGATTTAAATGGCGCGATGCAGCGCAACATATTTATATGAAAAACTATGTATATATTTACAAAAAAAATTATTTCTATATTCTGATTGATTCTTAATGAGAAAAAAGAATATCTACTAATTTATGCCGTTATTGCACCGATAAATGATAATTATATCGGGAAATGAATAATGTGTGTTGATTGAAAAAGCATTAACAAAATTTTATGTATACTAATTTAAGCCCACTTTTTTCCCCTATTAAAAATTGCGTGAATAAGTTGAATTTTGACCCTTTTATAACATCAGCAGTATGCATCTCACTATCCCATAAATATAGATTTCTTCACTTCATCATAACAAACTATAACTTTTCCATAATACGTTTAATATCTTCAAGATTCAATATGTGAACCCTTTCCTTCTTTTTACCTCGGTCAACATTTTCTTTCATTATACGTTCCATCTCTTCAATATTCAACATCTTCAAAGATTTCATAAACTCATTAATCCTTCCCCGATTTTGTGGGAGCAAATACGCGCATCTTACATTCAATCCCGGTCCACAAATGGCTTGCATATGAGAATGCAAAAATCGTAACCATTGCTTAAAAGAATTTTCTTTGATAAAGACATTATAATCAATCATTCTTAAGAAATCACGTTCAAACACATTTAGTTGTTCGGAGGTATACCCGGTGAAGTATGCCCAATGACGAGTTTTGAAATTCTCATCTTGATAAAATTTCCATGCTAGAATTATCGAGGAAACCAGAGCAGGTAAAGATTTTATGGAATCTTGGTTTTTAGGACAGGGTTCCTCTGAGACGGTGAATCGTGAATAATTATGAATGTATCTTCTAGGAAATTTATACGATGTCAACCCAACGTTTGAATGGCTCAAGCATCTCTTGAATCGTAAGAGATAATATAGCGCGAGCTCAATAATTCTGCAATTTGTTCCAGACAATTGTAAAACTTGTTCCATCCAATCATGGAATTCATTACCATATGATGTGTCCCAGATCGCTAATATTACATATCTGATAGTGTCTAATAAAAAAGAACAAAAACAAAAACTGAGTCCAATTGTCTACAATTTTATTTTAACACATTTTGAAACTTACTTACCCAGGTAATTGTTGTGCATATTTTCCGAACGATTGAATTTTTGTGTTACCAAATAAATGTCATATAAAGAAGTAATCCAATACTGGGTTCTCACATCTTGGACATTTTCGTCTTGTTCACATACTGATTCTTTTGTCTGTTCTTCGGTAGGTGTCATTACTGGCGAAGTGTAATTTGTTGGTTGACTTCCGATGTCGCAACCACTGTAAAGGGAATGATCTGTAAGGGAACTTTGAGAACTAGCGGATGAATAACTAGGGAAACGGGTCAACTCTGTTTGTGTTACGATCTGATTTGTGACAATTTGATTGGTATTATGGTAATGCGATTGTAAAGGAACGCAACCTTTATTTAAAACGGTTTCATTTTCTGTTGAAACTTTGTCAATATCATTAGTCGACGATATCCAAGAACTTAACACCGATGTCCGAGGATTATCTACAGTCCTCTTGTCATGATACTGAATTTTTGCAGAACATGAATTTTCATAATTTTCGTCGTTAAATTTCCTAGTATGGGGATTTTTGTTAACAAGTTTATTATTTTCGCGTTCAAATTTTTGTTCCGGATCTTTTGTTATAACGATCCATTTTTTTATGGGTTGTTTATTTTGATGTTGGGACAAGGCAGAGGTTTTAACTATTCTTTTAGTGTTTTGCACGTAAGCATCATTCTTTTTGTTTCCAAGCCCTTTAGGATTGTTATTAGGACGTAAGGAAGGTTGCGTGGGCTTGGACTTTACACTTTGCCAAGTTGACGCAACGTGCATGTTTTTGTTGATAGAACAAACTTGTTAAAGAGCTGCAAATAAATGAAGCGAAAAAATGACAAGAAATAAGATATAAAATAATGACAAAGATTTCACGTGAGTCACATCATCAATATTTTAATATTGGCCGATTTTGGTACAATCACATCACTTCGGTGTCGAAAATATCAAAAAAAGTAATTTATAAAATGTAGCAAAGCATCATAGAAAGCTCATTAGAATATATCTTCTTTCCTAATTTTGAAATGATTGCTAGACGAAATGCCAGTTATGGTCTATCAAGATGAAGTTTTCTTTGATTGCTGTACCACGAGGTTGCATGGGATTTATTTCCATAATTCCATTGTCTATCATGCGATCTTTTTTTTTAAACCTATTAAACTAACTCACCTTTAAGCAAAATGATTTTTTTTTTTAAAAAAAAAAAGGGGGGGCTTTTGCGAGAGAGGAGGGAACGTGCAAAAAGGAAAAATTTTTTTTTGTCTTTGTTTTCATATAATCATGAGATGACAAATCATTACGTCGCCTACTCATGACATAAACATAGTCTTACAAATATTAAGTCATAAATTATTTAAATTACCAATTTATTTCATGATCGTAGTGATCATAGCCTAACCATTAGGTTAAGCAAAAATCCAGCGGGCCGGTAATTCTAAATGAAGCAAGCTGAAAAAAAAAGAACGAATGGTTCACAAGAGAAAGTTACCCGCTTTGTAAAATTGGTGCAGCAAGCCTCAAAATTTTATGAATTTGGGAAGATTATTTTTTTTTAATAATAAGCCAATTATTTGATCTGATTTTGTTTACAGATAACTTAACCTTTTTACCTTTTGTTTATGCTGGTTTTTTTTTTGGCTCATTTCGTGTTGCATGCCACCCGTAAAATTGATAAGATGAGATGCAAACTAGGTTTTTATCGGTTTATGGTTTAATTGATTATATAATATCAAATAAGGAGTTGTAATACAATAATTATTAGTTTTCGGTTCATTTGCAAATATTCTGTTGTACTAGTTCTTAATTTAGTAACAAGAGCGGAATTCTTTTGTTATTACAACATATGTTTGAATAAAAAAAAGAAAAATTAGGGTCACCCTACAGAGTTTTTGGTCCAGGCCAAATGTTATTGTTCGAATTTAAAAACAATTAACCATTTAAGAATTGATCTGCTTAATTACCTCGGTTTCAAATTTGAAAGACAAAAGCAAATAAATATTTGGTAATCAATAAGTGAAAAAATGTTCATTGTGATTTATTATAAATAGTCCCTTTTTTTTTACACTTTTCAGAAATATAGTTTGAATTTTTAAATAAACTTTTCTCTCTATCCTTTACTTTACTTTTTTTTTTCCTATAAAAATGACACAAACTATCGCAGCAACCGATTACGCGAGGAATGCAGCCAAATACATTGAAATTTTGAATAAATTGCGTCGTATGGGCGCACAATCCGCAGTTGACTTGCCAACCGTGGTTTTTTGTGGGAATCAATCGGCCGGCAAAAGTAGTTTGTTGGAAGCGATTTCCGGCGTTCAGGTAAATAGATTCTTCCTCCAAATGTTCCAAATAGGGATTTAAGCGGTCATCGATCTCAAAGTTCATTTTCCTTTTAAAAATGATTCATTAAATTTATTATAACAATTTTTTAACACGGGTTACTTATAATAAATATATAAGCGATTAGGCTTTTCTATAACTAGAAATTTCAAAATCTTTTTGGGACCGTTTAACATCCCTATGTCTAAATATGAAAAAAATCATAAATAAATCGTGTTTTTTTTTTAGTTGCCACGTTCGGAGGGTACGTGCACAAGATGTGTCATGGAAATCCGTTTGATTGAATCCTCTGAAATTTGGTCATGTCAAGTTTCTTTACGTAAAGAGTACGATGCTAATGGAAAAAAACTTATTCGACCTGAAGAAACGAAATTCGGAAATACCATTAAAAACAAAGATCGCGTGGAATTGTTTGCACGTCGTGCTCAAAAAGCACTTTTGAATCCCAACAATAAACCAGATGAATATTTTGATTTTGACTTTAATAATTTAAGTTATGATGAGGATGCATCCAAGAACACTTTAAAATTTACGAAAAATGTGGTTTGTTTGGAAATTAAGGGACCTAAAATTCCAAACCTTAGTTTGATAGACTTGCCCGGAATTATCCGTAAGTTTTTTTTTCTTTATAACTTTATTATTATTTTTATTGAATACTAACGCGAGAACATTTTCATATCAACATATTTTATTAGGTCACGTTGAAAGAGAAGAAGATGAAAGGTTCATAAAATTGATTGAAGAATTGGTCGAATTGTATATTTCGAAAGAAAAGTCTATTATCGTCGCGACTATTAGTTGTAAAGATGAAATAGATAATCAAGCCATTATCACGCTTGCAAAAAAAGCCGATAAATTAGGTGCTCGTACCCTCGGCGTTTTAACAAAACCAGATACTATTGAGGAAGGTTGCCATGAATCTTGGTTGAAAATTATGAGAGGTGAAGCACATAAATTGGCTCTTGGGTATTATATTGTGAGAAATCCAAAACCGTCTGAATTGAAAAGTGGTATCACTTTTAAGGAAGCTCGTCAAAATGAAGAGGATGTAAGTATCATTATAAGTCGATTATTTATCTAATTAGATAACTTATCTTCAAAGTAATTTTGGATCTTTAACTAACTATATTTCTTTTGTAAAACTAGTTTTTTGAAAGCGAAACACCTTGGAGAAATTTCCACCAAAGAAATCGATTGGGCGTTACCCATTTGCAGGAGAAATTATCTGAATTGTTGATTAAAGCAATCAAGCGTAATCTTCCTTCCATTAAAAAAGAAGTTGAAGACAAGCTCGCAAACGTATGTAATTACGACTTTCAGTTTTCTTGATAATTAATTACTCATTCGTTTTCGTTATCAATAGATTATCAAAGAGCTTGGAACGATTCCAGAACAACTTAGTGGCAATACACGAATTGAACTTTATCGAATGACCAAAAGATGCGCTGGTCTTATTCAATTAGAAACCACATGTTCTAATGAACAAACAGAATTATGGCAAGCAATTAATAAGGAATTTCAAAATTTCAAGTTTAACCTGTGCTCCACGCGTCCAATTTTCGAAATCGGTCTTGATAGTGATAAATCGAGTCCCGCCAGATTTGATATTTTAAAAGAATTCTTACAACCTACTGCTGATGAGAACGAAATAATTGGTGACATTGATCAAGGCGAATTACTTATAGTAAGAGAAAGTGACGTGGTTGAAGGTATAAATAAAGCTCGCGGACGTTTATTACCTGGATTTATTCCATATAGCGCTGCAACAAAATTTATAAAGGAACATCAAAAATTATGGAAATCACCAGCTCAAGAATGTTTATATCACATTAATGAAATTATGTCGGAGCTTGTAAGTAAATCTACTGAAGTCACTTTTTCACGTTTTCCGGAATTGTTCGGTCGAATGAAGTATGTTTAAAGATTTATTTGTTAATTTTCTTACATTGAATATTCATTTATTTATTATTATTTTTTTTTTAAAAAAAAAATAAAAGGTTTAATGCACAGGAGTTTCTTGAAGAATGTAAACGAAATACTGAGAAATATATTAACTTTCTGAATGAAATGGAAGGAACCAATTATCCTTTCACGTTAGATGAAGGTTCGATGTTAATATCAAAGACTAAATATCTTGAAAAACTTCACGAAGCGGTTAAAATTGAAGAGCGTGAACCAACTGATACGTTGGAAATGGTAGCTTCAGTTATGGCATACTTTAAGCTTGCGTTTAAGAGATATGCTGATGCTGTCTCTTTGACGATAATCCACGCTTTTATTGATGGTTTTTCAAGTCTCATTGAAGAGAAACTTATCGAGGGATTTGAACAAAATGAAGACGAAAATTTTAGAATCGATGAATTGATTAGAGAAGATGATAGCATAAAAATAAAAAGAGAGGAATTACAGCAATCAGAGAAACATTTGCGTGAAATGAACATTAGTCTTATAAGGTTTGGTTGTTAATCTTTACCAAATCTTGTGATAACTATATGATCGAAATGCGCAGATACGTGTATCCATTTTATTTTGTACGTTTTATATTTTATAGCATCTTATCATAAGAAATAAATCTTTTATTAATGAAATAAATAATCAGTGTTAATAAACTAATATGTACTTTGTACAAATTTTTAAGTTGTTCCATAAACTGTCCCATGTCCTAAACTATGTCCCCACAACAACACTGGCAATATTTACTAATAGTTTGTTAATTATCGAAGTCATCTTTTTAAGAAAAGCATAATATGTGAACAGACCGACTAAGGCGGTTAATTCGGTCTTATAAATTTGATCTATGTGATCCATCTGCTTAAAAGATAATTTAATTTATTTTTAGGCAATGACTAATCGTTACACGGGGGTGTTTAAAACACTATGAAAACATAATAGGGTGAATATAAGATTTTAGTATTAAAAAATTTCTTGTCCCCAGATTACAGCTATTTGCAAAAATAACGGACCACCCAATTCATTTTTGCTCCGAAGTGTCATACACATTCATACGCAGTCATACGCACAAGATTATTACTGATCGGTAATAATTCGGGCCAACTTATAATTTCAGCCTGAATTATAATACATGTTACACACGGTTGTGATGATCCATTCCTTCTTTGGCGATAGCCATTTCACAAATTTATTTTTTTCCTAAAAAATTAAATTTTACTTTTTAAGAATATGTGTAATATAATGTCCTAAAAAGGGAATTTATAATTAGCATTATTAATTTTATAGAAATTAATGTAAACAATACGTCATGCTTTAAATTTATTTTGTAACACGTATTACAAAATTTTTTTATTTTATTTTTTATCATTATTGTTTATAAAATGGTACAAACAAAATTTTTACAATTTCATCCAAATGCTTGCTCTTTATATTTAACTTATTTAGTATGTATAAAAATATATAGTGAAGATTATATTTGTCTCTCTAAAGAACTGAAATGAAAATAAAAAAGTGATGAATATAAAATTGATTTTGTCATAAAATCACTTGATATAGTTGCTGCAAAAAAAACAAAAAATAAAATTAGATAATAAATTTATCTTTTAGTTTCATAATAATATTTCATTAGACTTAGCAATATCAAAAGATCAGCATAATGTAAATGTTTGTAGAAAATGTATTAATAAATATGAATATTACAAAAAAAGTATGTATTGTATATATTTTACAATAATATTTTATGTTTATTATAAGCTATTATTTACTTATTTTAATATTTAAAGCTAGTAAAGTAATAATTAATTTAGATTATGATTTTGATACTATTGATATAATTGAAACTATTGATTTTACTAAATAATATCTGTTGAGAGAATTATTATTCAAAAAATCTAATACTTGAAAAAAATGTTTCAAAAATTATATCTCAGAATAAAAAACAAAACCAAATCATTTCAAATAAGTGAAGGATTAAAAAATTATATTGTTTATTAGAAATAATAGTATATATATAGTAGATTTACTAATACCTATTTTATAATATTAGTAGTATATATCCCTTTAGTATGCTTTAACCAATTTCAAAAATCATGAAAAAACTTGATAATGCTCTATTAATTTTATTGAATTTAGATAAAGTAAATAGTTTTGATCAAATTAATGAAGAAATTCTTTCAAAAGAACTTCTAAAAATATGGGAAAAAATTATCATAGGATTTTATTCTTATCAGTTATCAAAAGGTGTAGGAGCTGATTATTTTAATTTAAAATCAAAGAAAAGTGTTTTAACTTTTGTAAATAAAGCTAAATATAGAAAAAATATGCAACTATCTATATATCAAGAAAAAAAGATTAAGCATAAAGTTATTACCTATAATAGTTCTGTTGCAGATACAAATGATTCTATAGTAAGTATACAGATTTTTTATTGTAATATGCAAATTTATTTTATATATATATATATTTTGTATAATTTCATTTTAGTTATGTGAAAATGAAATAGAATCAGCATTAACTACAGTGAAATAAGCTATATATAGAAGTCTTAAGGAATGTTCTTTTAATGTTTAAGGGTGTTTAATATTAGCAAATGATCGTCATTTAAAGTTAAATAGTAAATCTATCACACTTTGGGCTTGTGCTATGATATATTTAAAAAAATTACAGTTTATTATAACAATTGTTATATAAATTACAAATAATTTATTGATTATAGGTAAGTCAATAAAAGGTGTAGATGAAAATATACTACTACTAATGCTAACTTTTGATAAAACTAGATATCAATTTTTAAATTCTAAAAAAATGCAAATTCTTACTGAATTCTTAAATACAGGTATGTAAATATTTTATATTTTTATCATAGGTTATTTTTTTAATAAATAGATTTTTTTATTATTTTTACTATGATGCAGCAAGATATTATTATGATATAATAAAATGTGGCTACAATGTAATAAAATATTAATATGCCATTAATTCTTTATTCTGTAACTCTTCATCTTAAAAAAATTACCTTTTAAAGAGAATATTCATATAATGAAAAGCATGACTTTTGCTAATCTTATTGATTTTGTTTTTCCTACTGGTTTATTAAAAGATAAACAATTTATTCTAAAATTATTACTTGAAGCAAGGGAAAACAATTTTATCTAAACAACTTATACATAATATTTTTTATGAAAAATATGCCAATATATGGATTGATATGGAAATAATAATTTTAAATTATAATGATCTTTTTGATTGATAATAATAAAAAATATTAAGTTTACATTTCTTAGCGAATGTATATGCATTTATAAATAGTAATAAATAAAGTTTATATAATTTTTAGTTTATAAATTAAATAATTATCAATTAAATTTTTAATAAAATTAAGACTTATAAAAATTATAATAAATCAAAATTATATTTAAAATATTAAAAAAAATACAAAAAAAATTTGTTTATAATTATTTTTTAATTTTAATTATTTTTTAATATAAAAAATTAAATTCTTACTGGATTGTAATCAGAAGAGTATGGTGATAAAAATTCAAGTCTTATTCCTTTTTCTTCACAAATATTTCACAAATATTAGCTTCTATATATAGATGCATTATCTAAAACTAAACCGCTATATTGTGTAGGATATAGTAACATTTTTAAAAGTTATAAAATATATAAATATATTAAATATCATATTTATTTTAATATACAAATATTTAAAAAAAAAAATACATACCAAAATATTTTCAATAAAATTTACATAATCTTCAGAGTTCATTGATCCTTTTTGAATTCTATATGTTAACAAACCATTTATATATAATGCATTTTCAATAGTATATCTCTGACCTCTAATAAAAAATGCAGCCTTTCTTGCATAGCATTCACTAATATTCCATCTATATCTGCGTGATAAGGTTTATCTATCATAAGCTGATTCATCAGAAAATACTAATTGATTTAGTAAATACTAAGATATATGTAAAATAAAATTTGCACAATCATTTTTATTTCTTTCTTGTACAGGTTTAAAAATCTATATAATACAATATAACATAAATATATTATAAAAAAAAGTATAAATAATAAAATATAATTATAAATATTAAAATATTTAATATTTATTTGTGAGTATATCTTAGGCGATATACTGTTCTTCATATTACACTAAGGTCAAAATTTTTATCTTAACCAAAGTTCTATTTCTGATTGAAGTTCCCAAATATACCAATCTACTTTTTTTTTAAGTAGTATTTCAAGATATTTCATATTATTGCATTCAAAAATTCTTAGTCTTTTACATAATAATGAAAAGTTTTTAACATATCCATACTTTTTAAAATAGTAACAAGTATAGAGCATAGTTGATTTTTAAATGTTTAGCAATTAGATATTCTGATAAATCTGCTAATGACTTTTCAATTATTTACTAGCAAATATGTGAAGATAATTTTGTCATACTGTAATGAAAATGAAAGATTTGTTTATTATTGATAAAATAATACAAATAAATAAAATTTCCTATTTGGAATAGAATAATAAAATAATAAATTGGCCAATCAATAATTATAATTCAAGCTAAAATTATAAGTTGACCTAAATTATTATTAATCAATAATAATCTTATATGTATAACTGCATATGAATATGTATAAATATGTATAATATTTTAAAGCAAAAATAAATTGAGTAGTCCATTATTTTTGCAAATAACTATAATTAGTAAAATAGAAATATAATAAGGTGTGATATAATGTGATAAATAGTAAACTAATTTATATAATACACTTAAACTAACCTTAATATCATGCAACTCTAATAATAAGGTTATTTATATGAAAAAATTACTAGAAAAATCAAGTTTCTTTTGACTTAAATTAAGTGTTAATGTATTTTTATCAAAATTAAAATGTGATAAAAATCTAAAATTCTTAAAATTCTGTATTTTAATACATATTATCAAGTTTTTACGCTTATGTAAACTTAAATAATATATCACCAATATTTTGCATTTTTACTATGTAATCTGAAGACAAAATTTTTTCAGAATAAAAATTTCTATTTGTATTATTTGTCATATTATTAATTTCAGTCAAGTATATAGTATAATACCAGCTAATCAATCACATAAAATAAAAACTTAGTGGTAAATTTCAATACACATTAAGAAATTTTCTATTTTTTAATATTAAATTAAAGAAATATAAATAAATACAAATAAAATTTTTTTTAATTATTCAAATTTTATTATTATTTACATATTGAAAAAATTTTTAGCAAATGCTTATTAAACCATTTTATCAAATTTTATTTAAAGTATATTTTTTTTAAACCTATTTTTTAATATTAAAACTATTAATTAACTATCAAAAATAATTATTCTAACTTTACATTTATAATTTAATATATATATTTTCTTAAATTAAATAAATATATTCTTAATATAAAAATAAAATTTTAATAATACTAAATATTTTATTAATTTACTTATATAAATAATATAAATAAAATACTATTGCTATTAT